GCCACTGCACTCCAGCTTGGGCAACAGAGCAAGACTCCGTCTCAAAAAAAAAAAAAAAAAAAAGAAAGATATTCTGCAAAATGACTGGACTCCTCATAGGACAAAAAGGGGCTTGGGGACTGTTCTTGATTAAAAGAGACTAACGGGACGAGGACGTGGAATGCCATGTGTGAGCCCATTGGGATCTGGGACAGGAGGAGACAGAGCTGTGACAGGCATTACTGGGACAACTGGGGCATTTTTTTTTTTTTTTTTTGAGATGGAGTCTTGCTCTGTCTCCCAGGCTGGAGTGCAATGGCATGATCTCAGCTCATTGGAACCTCCGCCTCCTGGGTTCAAGCGATTCTACTGCCTCAGCCTCCTGAGTAGCTGGGATTACAGGTGCCTGCCACCACGCCCAGCTAACTTTTTGTATTTTTAGTAGACACAGGGTTTCACCATATTGAGCCTGATGGGATCTGGGACACGGCTGTAGTCCCAGTTACTCGGGATGCTGAGGCAGGAGAATCGCTTGAATTTGGGAGGCGGAGGTTTCAGTGAGCCGAGATCACCCCACTGCACTCCGGCCTGGGCAACAGAATAAGACTCCATCTCAAATTAATTAATTAATTAAAGGTCATGGTTGCAGGGTGAGGAGGGGACAGAGAAGGAGAGAGGTTTAGGAAGGAGACTTGATGGTACTCAGGACAGGAGGATACACGGTCACAGCTCCTGGCCTGGGTGTCTGCATGGATGGTGTGCCCTTTGCTGAGAGCAGATGGCTGGGGAGCCGGTGTGCCCAGCGCTGGCTGTGCTGTGTGGGATTTGCAAGCCCCAAGGAAGAGGTTTTGAGGCTTCAGATGCTCAGGGAAGCAGGGGATGGAGACGTGGCATCTTCAACTGAGGGGCAATGCTCACTCAGGCGCTCAGTGGACGTTTACTTACAGCCCATAAGTCAATCACGGCTGAATAGATGTGGCAGCAATGAGAACAGCAGCAGCATTACAGCAGTGACCTGCTTTTCTGATGTTCCAGGCCTTGTGCTAAATCAATGTCTTGCACAGAATCACTCTGGGCTCCCCGACCCCTCACTCCTGGCCTGCCTCCTTCCTCACTGGCCACTCCACCTCTCTCTCCTTTGCTGAGGCCGCCTCCTCTGCTTCACTTTTAAATATCGGATGCCCCAGATCCCAGTCCTGGTCCCCTTCTGTCCTCTCCCTGCACACTTAGCTGCTTGGCTTTCAGTACTGTCTGGGAAAAACCATGACTCTGAAGTCTACATCTCTGGCCTTGATTTCTCCCTTGAACCTACCATTTTATACAGCCCAGCCCTCCACTGCGTTGATCACACCTCAGGCCCCACACTGCGCTCATTATTTCGCTCATTTCTTTCTTTCTTTCTTTCTTTCTTTTTTTTTCTTTTTGAGACAGAGTTTCACTCTCGTTGCCCAGGCTGGAGTGCAGTGGCGCAATCTCAGCTCACTGCAACCTCCACCTCCCGGGTTCAAGCCATTCTCTGCCTCAGGCTCCCAAGTAGCTGGGATTACAGGCATGAGCCACCACGCCCGGCTAGTTTTGTATTTTTATTAGAGACGGGGTTTCTCCATGTTGGTCAGGCTGGTCTCCAACTCCCGACCTCAGGTGATCCGCCTGCCTCGGCTTCCCAAAGTGCTGGGATTACAGGTGTGAGCGACCATACCTGGCCGACTGCTCCAATACTATTAACTAAGCTACAGACTTGATGGGATTCACCAGTTTTTCTACTAATATCCTTTTTCTGTTCCTGGATCCATTCCAGGATCCCACATTGCCTTTAGTCCCCCTCCTCATTTCCTCTGTCTCCTCCAGTCTGTGACAGCTTTCCCATCTCTCCCAGTTTTCCCCTGAAGGCTGTGAGCACAGCGATCTGCTCACCTTTGACTTTAGAAAAAGTCTGCCTGGATGAACGATGACATTGGCCCCAGAGTGCACAGGCCTGGGGGCTACTGCAACCATCCAGGAGAGAAATAGTGGTGGCTTGGAGTAGGAAGTGGGTGTAGATGAGAGAAAATTTGGAATGTATTTATTTTATTTTTATTTTTCATAGAGATGGGGGCTCACTATGTTGCCCAGGCTGGTCTCCACCTCCTGGGCTCAAGCAATCCTCCTGCCTCAGCCTCCCAAAATGTTGGAATTACAGGTGTGAGCCACTACCAGGCATGAAATGTATTTTAGAATAGCCATGGGACATCAGCCACCAGCAAATTTTTTGTTTTTTTGTTTTCTGGGACAGAGTCTTGCTCTGTCACCCAGGCTGGAGTACAGTGGCCAGATCTCAGCTCACTGCAACTACCACCTCCAGGTTCAAGCAATTCTCCAGCCTCAGCCTCCCAAGTAGCTGGGATTACAGGCATGCACCACTGCATCCGGCTAATTTTTTTTTTTTTTTTTTTTTGAGATGGAGTCTTGCTCGGTCGCCCAGGCTGGAGTGCAGTGGTGCGATCTCGGCTCACTGCAAGTTTCGCCCCATGGGTTCACACCATTCTCCTGCCTCAGCCTCCCGAGTAGCTGGGACTACAGGCCCCCACCACCACGCCTGGCTAATTTTTTTTTTTTTTGTAATTTTAGTAGAGATGGGGTTTCACCATGTTAGCCAGACTGCTATCGATCTCCTGACCTCGTGATCCGCCCGCCTCGGCCTCCTAAAGTTCTGGGATTACAGGCATGAGCCATCGCGCCCGGCCGCATCCAGCTAATTTTTGTATTTTTAGTAGAGACTGGTTTCACCATGTTGGCCAGGCTAGTCTCGAACTCCTGACCTCAGATGATCCACCCACCTCGGCCTCCCAAAGTGTTGGTATTACAGGTGTGAGCCACTGTGCCTAGAGACCATGCAAATTTTGAATTCTCTGCTAGGTGCTGGGAACTCAGACTTCACCAACAACAGCCCAGGGAGGCTGGACGGGGCAGTGGTTGCAAAGGGAGAGCAGAGGGGATCTTAAGAAGGCATGAGGACGCAGTGGCTCAAGCCTGTAATCCCAGCACTTTGGGAGGCCGAGACGGGCGGATCACGAGGTCAGGAGATCGAGACCATCCTGGCTAACACAGTGAAACCCCATCTCTACTAAAAAAAATACAAAAAACTAGCCGGGCGATGTGGCGGGCGCCTGTAGTCCCAGCTACTCGGGAGGCTGAGGCAGGAGAATGGTGGGAACCCAGGAGGCGGAGCTTGCAGTGAGCTGAGATCCGGCCACTGCACTCCAGCCTGGGCGACAGAGCCAGACTCCGTCTCAAAAAAAAAAAAAAAAAAGAAGGCATGAGGAGAGGGGATCTGCGTGAAGGCAATTGTGGCTACTTTTTTGTTTCATTTGTTGTTTTAAGACAATATCTTGCTCTGTTGCCCACCCTAGAGGGCAGTGGCACAATCTTGGCTCACTGCAACCTCTGCCTCCTGGGCTCAGGCAATCCTCTGGCCTCAGCCTCCTAGGTGGCTGTGACTACAGGCACGTACCACTGGGCCCTGCTAAGTTTTAAAAAACTCATAGTAGAGACAGGGTCTCACCATGTTGCATAGGCTGGTCTAGAACTCCTGAGCTCAAGTGATCCTCCCACCTTGGCCTCCCAAAGTGCTGGGATTACAGGTGTGAGCCACCACACCCACAGTTGTGGCTCCTTTAAGATGAGGCCACAATACCCTTTACTCTTCATCTAAAGCAGTAGCCAAGGGACATGTACATAGCTGGTGCTCAACACCTGCTCGGTGACTGAGGGATTGAGCGGGATGGAGGGTGACACACCAAGGTCATGGCAACTCAGTCATGAGGCTAGGAGTTGCGAAGAGGTCACTATTGAGGACGGTTATGTTAATCCTTCAGGCCAGTGCTTCTGAAACTCTAAGTTGTACAAATCACCAGACAGTTTTGTTAAATGCAGATTCAGAAGCAGTGCATCTGGGCTGGGACCTGAGATTCTGCATTTCTGGCAAACTCCCAGCTATCAGTTTATAAAAGTTTGTCCATCCCTGCACCTTTCCCATCCTCATGGCAGCCCTGGGAGAAGCCTTAGGGTAGGAATATTTGAATACAAAAAACCAGGGCTTTCTAGAGCTGTCACACATGAAACAGACTCATTAGAACCTATCTCTACTAAAAATACAAAAATGAGCTGGGCATGGTGGCACATGCCTGTAATCCCAGCTACTTGGGAGGCTGAGGCAGGAGAATCATTTGAACCCAGGAGGCATAGCTTACAGTGAGCCAAGTCTGTCACTCTAGTCTGGGTGACAGAATGAGACTCTGTCTCAAAAAAAAAAAAAAAAAAAAAAAAGCCCGGGCACGGTGGCTCACACCTGTAATCCCAGCACTTTGGGAGGCCATGACGAGCGGATCACCTGAGGTCAGGAGTGTGAGACCAGCCTGGCCAACATGGTGAAACCCCGTCTCTACTAAAAACACAAAAATTAGCCGGGCATGGTGGCACATGCCTGTAATCCCAGCTACTCCAGAGGCTGAGGCAGGAGAATGGCTTGAACCCAGAAGGTGGAGGTTGCAATGAGCCAAGATGGTGCCACTGTACTCCAGCCTGGGCGACAGAGCAAGGCTGTCTCAAAAACAAAACAGAAAAACCAGAAATGGGGGGAATTCCTCAGATTCTGATTGAAGGAAGTAAAACTGGGAAGGGCAGACTATCAGGTGGCTGCTGCTGGGCCCACCTCTCCCTCCCTGGGTTACACAGGCTATTGCCAACACTTCTGTCCACGAGTCTGCCTCTTCTCTGTTTTGTCCATGGATCCCCAGACCCTATGGCCTCTTCCAGTTGTTGAGTCCATCTCTTGACTGAGTCAGGGTCTCAATTTCAAATTCTTGACCTCGGCTTGAGAGAAGCATCCAAGCCCTTGTCTCATCAGTCTTGGTCAGAGAGGTGGAGTCACTTGGTACGGACAGTGAGACCTGTAAGAGGAGGGTGTGGGGTCTGCCCTAATCACTGGTCCAAAGAGACAAAGAAAGGTAGAATATGAGAGGTGCCTGGACCCCTCCCCTTACCTTGAGCCCCTCTGTTTTCTCTCCAGACATGGGCGGTGGGAGCCGGAGCGCAGGACAGCACTGGGCAAAGCTCCGGGGAGAAAGTGGGTTCTTCTCCCTAGAGCGGCACCGGTCAACACTGACCCAGGCTGCCTCCATGACACCACACAGCGGACCTCGAAGCACCACGCCTCGGGCTTCCCCTGCCCAAAAGGACACTGCTCAGGCTGCGTCTACACGTGAAACCCCCCGAGCCTCCTCTCCCCACCGAATCACCCAAAGGGACACCTCCAGGGCCTCATTTACACAGCGGAACACCCCCAGAGCTTCCTCTCCCTCACGAAGCACCCAACAGGATAACCCCAGAACCTCGTCCAACCAACAAAATAATCCTCAATATCCCTCTCCCCAAAGAGCCACCCAACAAGATAACCCTAGAACCTCTTCTACCCAGCAGGACAACCCCCAAACTTCTTTTCCTACTTGTACTCCCCAGTGGGACAACCCCAGGACACCCTGTGCCCGACGGGGTGATCCCAGAGCCTCCTCTCCCAACAGAGCCACCCAACGAGACAACCCCAGAACATCCTGTGCCCAGCGGGACGATCCCAGAGCCTCCTCTCCCAATAGAGCCACAAGAGACAACCCCAGAACATCCTGCGCCCAACGGGACAATCCCAGAGCCTTCTCTCCCGACAGAACCACGCAACGAGACAACCCCAGAACATCCTGCACCCAGCGGGACAATCCCAGAGCCTCCTCTCCCGACAGAACCACCCAACGAGACAACCCCAGAACATCCTGTGCCCAACGGGACAATCCCAGAGCCTTCTCTCCCAATAGAGCCACAAGAGACAACCCCAGAACATCCTGCGCCCAGCGGGACAATCCCAGAGCCTCCTCTCCCGACAGAACCACCCAACGAGACAACCCCAGAACATCCTGCGCCCAGCGGGACAATCCCAGAGCCTCCTCTCCCGACAGAACCACCCAACGAGACAACCCTAGAACATCCTGTGCCCAACGGGACAATCCCAGAGCCTTCTCTCCCAATAGAGCCACAAGAGACAACCCCAGAACATCCTGCGCCCAGCGGGACAATCCCAGAGCCTCCTCTCCCGACAGAACCACCCAGCGAGACAACCCCAGAACATCCTGCGCCCAGCGGGACAATCCCAGAGCCTCCTCTCCCGACAGAACCACCCAGCGAGACAACCCCAGAACATCCTGCGCCCAGCGGGACAATCCCAGAGCCTCCTCTCCCGACAGAACCACCCAGCGAGACAACCCAGAACATCCTGTGCCCAGCGGGACAATCCCAGAGCCTCCTCTCCCGACAGAACCACCCAGCGAGACAACCTCAGAACATCCTGTGCCCAACGGGACAATCCCAGAGCCTCCTCTCCCGACAGAACCACCCAGCGAGACAACCCCAGAACATCCTGTGCCCAACGGGACAATCCCAGAGCCTCCTCTCCCGACAGAACCACCCAGCGAGACAACCCCAGAACATCCTGCGCCCAACGGGACAATCCCAGAGCCTTCTCTCCCAATAGAGCCACAAGAGACAACCCCAGAATATCCTGTGTCCAGCGGGACAATCCCAGAACCTCCTCTCCCAATAGAACCACCCAACGAGACAACCCCAGAACATCCTGTGCCCAGCGGGACAATCCCAGAGCCTCCTCTCCCAACAGAGCTTCCCAACAGGACAACCCCAGAACTTCTATTCAACAGAACATCCCCAGATCATCTTCTACCCAACAAGACAACCCTAAAACCTCTTGTACCAAACGGGATAACCTCAGACCCACTCGTACACAGCGGGACCGCACACAGTCCTTTTCCTTTCAACGAGACAACCCTGGAACCTCCTCATCTCAATGCTGCACCCAAAAGGAGAATCTGAGACCATCATCTCCCCACCGCTCCACTCAATGGAACAATCCCAGGAATTCGTCTCCACATCGTACCAACAAAGACATCCCCTGGGCCTCCTTTCCCCTCCGGCCAACTCAGAGTGATGGTCCCCGAACCTCTTCCCCATCTCGCTCCAAGCAAAATGAGGTTCCCTGGGCATCCATCGCCCTCCGGCCAACCCAAGGTGACAGGCCTCAGACATCCTCTCCCAGCAGGCCAGCCCAGCATGACCCACCCCAGTCCTCCTTTGGCCCCACCCAGTACAACTTGCCATCCCGGGTCACCTCTTCCTCCCCTAACCCAGGCCACCAGAGCACCTCCCGGACTTCCTCACCTGTATACCCTGCTGCCTGTGGGGTTCCCTTGACCTATCCTGAGCCCTCCCAGCCTCCATGTGCTGTGTGCATTGGGCACCGGGATGCCCCTCGAGCCTCTTCGCCCCCTCGCTATTTGCAGCATGACCCCTTCCCCTTCTTCCCAGAGCCCCACGCCCCAGAGAGTGAATTGCCCCACCACGAGCCTCCCTATATACCACCTGCTGTGTGCATTGGACACCGAGATGCCCCCCAGGCGTCCTCGCCCCCCCGCCACACCCAATTTGACCCCTTCCCCTTCCTCCCAGACACATCAGACGCCGAACATCGGTGTCAGTCCCCCCAACACGAGCCCCTTCAGCTCCCCGCACCTGTATGTATTGGGTACCGAGACGCACCCCGGGCCTCCTCCCCACCACGCCAGGCCCCAGAGCCTTCCCTCTTGTTCCAGGACCTCCCCAGGGCCAGCACAGAGAGCCTTGTCCCTTCCATGGACTCTCTGCACGAGGGCCCCCAAATCCCCACCCCTGTGTGCATTGGGCACCGGGATGCACCCTCCTTCTCATCCCCACCACGCCAGGCTCCTGAGCCATCCCTCTTCTTCCAGGACCCCCCTGGAACTAGTATGGAGAGCCTGGCCCCCTCCACTGACTCTCTGCATGGCTCCCTAGTGCTGATCCCCCAAGTGTGCATCGGGCACCGGGATGCACCCCGAGCCTCCTCCCCACCCCGCCACCCACCCAGTGATCTAGCGTTCCTGGCACCCTCACCTTCGCCGGGCAGCTCCAGGGGTTCCCGGGGCTCAGCACCTCCCGGGGAGACCAGGCACAACTTGGAGCGGGAGGAGTACACTGTGCTGGCTGACCTGCCCCCACCCAGGAGGCTGGCCCAGAGACAGCCAGGGACCCAAGTGCAGCACAGCAGCGGGGGCCGCACCCGCAGCCCTGGCCGCGCGGAGGTGGAGCGCCTCTTCGGGCAAGAGCGCAGGTGAGCCCAGGGGTGGGGTCAGCCAAGTGGGCTGGGGAGGAGGCTCAGCAGCAGGACAGGTGTAAGTTTCTCAGGGTTAGGGTGCCAGGAGAGTGTTCAAATCCCCCTGGCTTGCCATTTACTGGCTGTGTGACCTTGGGCAAATCACTCCATTTCTCTGTTTCTGCATATTAGGAGTTTTCTGCTTGTGTGTGTGTGTGTGGTTAAGTGATGTCATGCATAGCCCAGTGGTTAACAGCAAAGACTGCAGTCATGAGGGCTGAGTCCAAATCCTGGGTCAAAGTCACATTTCAACTCATGTGACCTGATATAGTGAGTTAACCTACCTGAGCCTCAATTTCCTCATCTGTAATGGAGGGGAACATGAGCCCATTCATTCAAATGAGGGTGAACTCTTTTTCTTTTTTCTTTTTTTTTTTTTTGAGGCGGAGTTTTGCTCTTGTTGCCCAGGCTGGAGTGCAATGGTGCAATCTTGGCTCACTGCAACCTCCACCTCCCGGGTTCAAGCGAATCTCCTGCCTCAGCCTCCCGAGTAGCTGGGATTACAGGGGCCCGCTACCACACCTGGCTAATTTTAAAAATATTTTTAGTAGAGATGGGGTTTTGCCATATTGGCCAGGCTGGTCTCAAACTCCTGACCTCAAGTGATCCGCCTGCCTCGGCCTCACAAAGTGCTGGGATTACAGGAGTGACCCACCACACCTGGCCATAATGAGAGTGAACTCTCAAACCCTTTGATTCAGACTCACGGGTTTTTTTTTCTTCCATGCATGAGGGAGAGGAAGAAAGTGCCCATTCTTTTTTTCCTGCCTTGGCAAAGAAAATTCATGGGTCCCTATGCATTTCAGAAAACTGTTATGTCAATTTAAAAATGTATGGCCAGGGCCAGGCATGGTGGCTCACGCCTGTAATCCCAGCACTTTGGGAGGCCAAGGCGGGCAGATCATGAGGTCAGGAGATTGAGACCATCCTGGCTAACACGGTGAAACCCTGTCTCTACTAAAAATACAAAAAACACGCTGCAGTCCCAGTGACTCAGGCGGCTGAGGCAGGAGAATGGCTTGAACCCGGGAGGTGGAGCTTGCAGGGAGCCAAGATCACATCACTGCACTCCAGTCTGGGCGACAGAGCGAGACTCCGTCTAAAAAAAAAAAAAGTATGGCCAGAGTCACCCTATTTTAAGAAAGAAAGCTCACAGAATTACAGATTTTTAGCAGTCAAACATCCTGAAACAACTAAAGTCCAGGTGTCTTTTGAGTCTCCTTGGTCAGCAGCACTGGTCCCCGCGGAAGGGGAGCATTTCCTCCTGATCCGGCTGAGATTTCTCACCCTAGAAGTTCCAGCCCTCGAGTTTTCAAGGATCAGAGCTAGAATTCCATTAGTTAGGGTCAAGAGAACAACAGCAACAAAAAGCAGTCTGAAGTCTCAAAACTTTCCGTGTATCTAATTCAGTGAATTTTTAGTATATTTACCAAGTTGTCCAACCACTGCCACAATCTAACTTTTAGAACATTTTCATCACCCTAAAGGGTATGGAATCTTTTGTATCTAAAATTCCTCTTTGCTGCTCCTTGGGCAAGTTTTCTCCTGGATTTGAATCTGCACGAGAAACCTGATCAATCTTGGCTGGGTGCGGTGGCTCCCTCCTGTAATCCCAGCACCGGAGCTTGCAGTGAGCCAAGATCATGCCACTGCACTCCAACCTGGGCAACACAGTGAGACTCCGTCTCAAAAAAAAAAAAAAAAAATTAGCTGAATATAGTGGCACACGCCTGTAGTCCCAGCTACTCAGGAAGCTGAGACAGCAGTATCGCTTGAATTTGGGAGGTGGAGTTTGCAGTGAGCTGAGATTGTGCCATTGCACTCCAGCCTGGCAACAAGAGTGAAACTCCATCTCAAAAAAAAAAAAAAGAAAGAAAAAAGAAACCTTATCTCTTGTTCTTCAAATTTCCTTTTCCAGTAAGCTTGATCATGTAATATCC